CTGCGCTGACTCCCCACGAATTTCAGAATTATCAGTCCTGCACTAAACATAAGGCTCTCTGTAATCTGGCTGCTGTCTACATGGCCAAGTCTACATGTCACCTTTCATTCCTTGCCTTCATTGTTCACCAAACATTAACTATTGTGTGTAACTTCCAAGCTACATACTAGAAGTCTAACAATCCCAACATTACCTCCTGCTGCCTCTCCTTCAAATCTCAGTGCAATCATAAGCTTCTCTGCGAAGGCTTTACGGAACTCCCCAGGAAGAGGTCAATGATATGATCCACTTCATCAGAATATGGCACTTATTAACTTATATGCCTTTGCTCCTTATAGGCTGTAGGATTCTTGACAGAATTAACAACGTCTATTTCTTTGGTTTTTGTTTTTACATATAAATAATTTTATTGGGGGCACTTAAAAGCTCTTTTAACAATCCATACATCAACTGTATCAAGCACATATGTTGCCATCATCATCTTCAAAAAATGTTCTTTCTACTTGAGCCCTTCCTATCAGCTCCTCTTTCCTCCCATTCTCACCCTCATGGCCCCTTAATAAATCATAAATTATTATTTTCATATCTTACACCGGCTGCTGTCTCTCTTCACCCATGTTTCTGTTGTTCTTCCCCTGGGACAGTGGGGTGGGGGAGAGGCTGGTCGGTCATTGAGATTGGTTCCCACTCCCATTATTGTTCCTGAGTGGTTTATCTCTCTTGGATTCCATGCTCTGGTCTAGCCAGATTTGTAAGATAGAATTGGGGTCTTGATATTGGGGGGAAAGAAGCATTAAAGAACTAGAGGAATCTTGTGTGTTTCATTGGTGCTTCACTGCACCCTGGCTGACTCATCCCTTCCTTGTGACCCTTGTGAGGGGATGTCCTATTGTCTACAGATGGACTTTGGGTCTCCACTCCAACCCCTCTCGTTCGCATTGATATGAGTGTTTGTTTCTGGTCTTCTGATGCCTGATAACTGATCACTTCAACACCTTGTGATCCCACAGGTTGGTGTGCTTCTTCCATATGGGCAGTGTTGCTTTGCTACCAGATGTCCGCCTGTTTAACTTTAAGACTTTAAGACCCCAGATGCTATATTTTCTAGTAGCCAGGCACTATCAGCTTTCTTCACCATGTTTGCTTATTCACCCATTTTGACTTCAGCGATCATGTCAGGAAAGTGAGCATCACAGAATGCCAGGTTATTAGAGCAAAGTGTTCTTGCATTGAGGGAAGACTTGAGCAGAGGCCCAATATCCATCTACTGCCTTGATGCTTAACATATAAATATATATATACATAGACCTAAAGTCCTATGATTTTTATTAATATATTTATAAATATGCATGCTTATGTTTATACCTCTATAAATGCCCTTTGCCTCCTAGCTCTTTCCTCTATTTCCTTTTATATTCCTCTGTCCCACTATCGTGTTCAACCTTCATTTGGCTCTCAGTAATTCCTCTCAGTTACATTGCACTTGATCAAACCCTACCAGGCATTTTATGCCCTCATTACAATCAATTTTATATCTCTTGTTGTTCCCTTGTTCATTTCTTTGTTTCCAGAATATAAATTAGGGTTAAATAAACATTTGACACTGTGGCTACAACAATGGGCTCAAGCATGGGAACAGCTGTGAGGATTGGGCAGGACCAGGTAGTGTTTCATTCTGTTTTGCATAAGGTCACTATTGGTTGGAACCAACCCAATGTAACAGCAACCAACGTTTGTGAGTTACTGGATGAGCAGACATTTGACAGAGGTTGTGAACATACTTCTAACAATGGTGGGGCTTTAGCATGCAAAGGTGGAGTCATCTTTTCAGATGGGAGGAGTTGTGCTGTTGGCTGAAGGGATTCAATGGAATTTAGGGGCCCAATGTTCCCTCTTCCTGATTACCTGCCTAGATATGCCCATCCTAAGTTTCAGGGTCCAACAGTGTAACTTCAGATACCATTTGAGTTTGAGAATTCAGTTGGCTTTGTTACTCAATCGTTCTGGGGATAAGACCATAGCTGTGGTTTGGGTCATATCAGCTTGTTAATACAAGAAATAAGGTTTCCTTTCATGACACAAGTGGAAACTTTGACTCTGTAGCCATGCACTCATCTCATTCTTTATCACTTCATCCATTTTAAGCATTAGCAACCAATCAGCTTCCCTTACTTCTCATTCTAATAAAATTGCTGAAAATGATCAAACACCCGATTACCCAGAGTTTCATTTCTTGCCAAACACTTCATCTGTTTGTAGTGACATTTTGCATATTAAAATTGCCACCTCACACCATGGATTAATAGCACCCTCTTTAATAACAGTGGCACACAAAAAAAGGGAGTTATCAGTGTCTGGACAACAATCAGATTTGAAAAACAATTTAGAAAGTCATCATTGAGGTTTTGTTTCACTAGAACCTGTCTGGTTTCAAATGGGTTGGCCTAGATTTGATAGAGGGGTGTGTGTGTGTGTGTGTTGTCTACAATGTAAGGCCAGTTTGGTTTCAGTTCAAATAGTTGGATGTTAAGCTGGAGGCTCCTCTTCACTGGGGTAGCTTCAGAGTCTGATGAATCCAGTATTCCCAGGAACATCATGGGTCACACATGAACAAATTCAAGGTCAACAAGTCAGGCTTGTAATTGGAGAGCTGAAGGAATCCAAGAACCGGAGCTCAGATGGCAGGCTGCTGTTGGTTCCCAGGATCAGCAGGGAATATGGTAAGCTGTTATCACAAGTTGAAAGAACCAGAGATTGGCAAGCCAAATGCAGGATTCAAGTACAGCAAAAAGGAAGCAAGCTTCTCAGAGTATCCACTTCTATAGGCATTAAGCCATTCCCTCCTCCCCGTCCCCAACCCCACCCACTCCAAAGAAAATGTCCTTTCAGTTTCACCAGGGATGTGCCCGAGTAACTGTGTTACACTCCACTCTAAACTTCTTAGAAATGATTGCCTGTTCATATCAGATATCATTATGGAACTCATTATATTCTGTTACGGAGCATCATGAAGAATTACTAGGCCTAAACTGCCAAAAGATTGAGAATCCTGAGCCAGCCAAGTTGACACAAACCTAACTATCACAAACAGGTTTACAACGTTTCTGTTCAAATGACTTCAGTTTAAAGAAAACAGCCCAGAAAGATCAGATATTTCACACTAGGTCTGATTACAAGAAACAGGCTTTCCAAAATAGGAATGTGAACATTGATATCACAACAAGTTCAGGTTTGTGGACAATATTGATGCTGGTCTCACAGGATAATTATATGCTGGTACTCTATAACTAGCAGTGGAAGATCTATTTCATAATGAAATCTACAGTCACCCTGAAAGATTGCTAGTGGAAGGAAAAAATGTGGTTAATATGAAAACACGTTTGAATGAAATACACAAGAAACAACTTGTTATGTATAAAAATAAAGGCAATTGAATCCTGAAAATAATTCATATGTATGAACTGATGAAAGTCTGATTTAAGTGTCAATGATTTTGAGCACGACTTCTCACGAATAGCTCTCTAATCTTGAGGCTAAGTAGTCTGTTACATAGAGGATGTTTCTCAGCTGAAAAGCTTCCCTAGGGCCTGCTTTATGTCCTTGTTTCTCAGACTGTAGATGAAGGGGTTCAGCATGGGGGTGACTACAGTGTACATCACTGAGGCTATTGCGCTGGCCCTGGAGTTTTCAATAGCAGCAGAACAGAGGTAACCCCCAAGACCGGTGCCATAGAACATGGAAACCACGGAGAGGTGAGACCCACAAGTGGAAAAGGCTTTATATTTGCCCCCAGATGATGCAATTTTCATAATGGAGGACACAATCTTTGTGTAGGAGTAAAGTATCCCAGTCATTGGAACAACACCCAGAACTCCAGTTGCGAAATACAGTACTATGTCATTGAGGAATGTGTTAGAACAAGCAAGTTGAATGACCAGATTCAATTCACAGAAAAAATGGGAAATTTCCAATCCTGTACAAAAGGACAGCCTCAAAAGCATTAAACTGTGTAATAGAGAGTCCATAAGGGTCAATAAACAAGATGCGAGAAGTAGGAGGCCACAAAATTTTGGATTCATGATGACCGTGTAGTGCAGTGGGTGACAGATGGCCACATACCGGTCATAAGCCATCACTGTCAAGAGGAAATGATCTAATCCTCCAAAAAGCAGGAAAAAAAATATCTGTGTGATGCAGGCTGCATGAGTAATTACTTTGGTCTGCATCTGGATGTTCCTCAGCATCTTTGGGACAGTGGTGGAGGTGAAACAGATGTCAGCAAAGGAGAGGTTGGAGAGGAAGAAGTACATGGGTGTGTGGAGGCGGGAATCTGTGATGATGGCCAGGATGATGAGTAGGTTCCCAGTGAAAGTGACCAGGTACATAGAAAGGAACACTCCAAAGAGAAGGGGTTGCAGCTCTGGCTCTTCTGAAAATCCCAAAAGTATGAATTCTTTAATATGTGTTTGATTTCCTGATTCCATGTAGCTGATGAAAATACTGGGAGAGAGAAAAGAGCATGGCAAATTTAATAATAAGCAATTAACAACTTTTTAACATTTATGCTGTAGTTTATATTTTTAGTGTATTAATGAATTAATTTCTATATACTATCTAAAGATGTTGTACTGTTGGCTTGAGAATATCACAGGTTACCAAATGCTCAATCTTCTCCTTGATCCTGAAACGGACTACCCTTTCTTGACTCCAATCCCATCTTTTTCTAAAGCAATATATTTCTCTACAAATTCCTTTGTGTTGTTCATTCAGCAAATATTTTGACCAATGATTTTGTGACAAGTGTACTTGAAGTCACTGAGAGCATCAGTACAAATTTTCTCCTCATTGGATGAGTAGCAACTGGGGTCTTAAAAGCTAAAAAAAAAAAAAAGCCCCCTAAGGTGCAACTATTGTTCTCTCCTCATCCAGAGGAAAGAAGTGGGGCAAAAAGAGAAAGACAGAAAGAACCATTAGTTCAATGGACTAATGGACCATGCAAACCCCAGTCTGCAGAACGCTGACACCATAAGAACTAGATGGTGCCAGGCTACCAATACCAGCAGCTCTGAAAAGGGTCTCATTAGAAGTTGCTGGGTAGAGTGGGAGGAAATATGGAACAGAACTCAAAATCTTTTTTTTTTTTTTAAAGACCAACTTCATTGCCCAAGAGAGACTAGAAAAAAACCCAAGACCATGGTCCTCGCCCTTCTGGTCTAGAACTGAACTCTGAACCATTTAGAATAATCAACCATTTAAGATCAAAATGGCAGAATGCTCCAAAGGCAAAAGCTCACAGGGATAGGAAAGAAGGAGAAATGGAAACAGGAAACACAAGAAGTAATGGTATATTGAGGACACTTGTGTGGATGAGACGATCAGAAAAAGCATGATTTGTTGAATGTAAAACCCTGATCTGCTCTATCAAACGTCACCTACTTCACACATACCGAAAAAAAGTTTGGAAAAAATATTTGCCCTTAATTATTATTAGAAGACATATATAGATTGAAGGTGGAGGTTAACAGACTGTAAATTAGTTGGTAAGTGATTTATGGTCATTACCAGTATGAAGTAAAATAATGCAGGTAAGTGAGCTATAAAGTGAAATAGAAATGCTTCTTTATAGAGTCACGTCTAATAAAAAGACTTTGAGTAGAAAACTTAAAGTTCTGATACTAGCCAAGCAGAAAACGGTGAGAACATTTTAGACAAAGATATGGGCAGTACAACGTCCCTGAGACAATTCTTCATGCAACTTCAGGAAACAATAAGGAGGGTGGTGTAGGTGAAGTACAAACACGAATCTGGAGTGAGGTTGTAATTAAAAGAGAGGAAACAAGAGATCAGATTATTCTGATGTCGTAGAAGACTCTATGACATAGGATCCTACAGTTTACTTACTATTCTTTAGTAAATGTATTATTATCTATCAAATCACAATTATATCACATATTAGGTTTTATATGATAACATAAAATGACCTTAAAGTAGCCTGAGTCCCTGTTAAGCACTTAACTATTAGCCTAAAGGTTGGTAGTTGCAATTAACTCATGGAAGCCTCTGATAGTAAGCCTGGTGCTTGCTACCTAAAGTCACATCCTTGAAAACTCAATAGAGGAGTTCTATTCTGCACATTTGGGCTTACCAGGAGTTGGATTGGCTTGATGGCAACTAACAATAACAACATTATGTTATGCTATGTAATGAAATGTAATGTAATTTGTATATATTACTATAAAGTACATAAACGAGATGTAATTCAGTCTTCCATAATATGTACTCTTTCCTCAGTTTCCATTTGGTATATAAGATTGCTAGGTTTTGATTGGACAAGTCACCTTAAGCCATCTGTTCAACCACTGTCGCATTCACTAATAACTTCTCCTACATCCTCCACACTCAACATGATGTTGTATTATGCACCAGAGGTTGAGCCTACCCAACAGCAAAACTCACTACAAATAAACAAATTCTTGTTAGCCTCCTGTCAGCACTGAGTTTAGTAACGGGGAAACCATTGAGGTAGCTATAGATGTAGGGTTTCTCAAGGACCATCCAAACCTGCAGCAAGGATTTTGTTTTGTTTTGTTTTGTTTTGTTTTGTTTTGTTTTGTTTGCATTGACCTGCCTTGTGATAGAGACTGAAAGAAAGCCAATCTGCTGAGAGGGAAAAAAGGAATGATGTAGACAAAAGGGAAGGAAAGAAGATTATTTAAAACTATGTAAGATTCAGAGAAGGGGAGATGACATCCTTGCGTTCTTAGTTCTAGACCTAAAAATAAAAAATAAAATAAAAAGCAAAGCCATTAAGTTGATTCTGGCTCATAACAACCCTACAGGACAGGGTAGAACAGCCCCTATGGGTTTCTGAAATTAAACCTTCACGGGAGTGGAGAGCTTTCTCTTTTTGCCACTAGACGGCTGGTGTTTTCAAATGTCTGACCTTGCGGTTAGCAGCCCAACTCTTAACACACAGTGCCACCAGGACTCCACCTACACCTTACAGTGCCCAGAAAGGTAACAATAGTGGAATTTATCAACTAGATAAATATTTTAATCTTTATGAAATCAAAGTATTTCTATACTCAAGTATGCAGATAACTTGAAAATATCTATAAATAATTGAAAGGGGCATGATCAAGGGTAATGTAACCGAGAGGAATTACTGAAATACAAATGAAGGCTGACCATGATAGTGGGACAAGAGGAAAGTAAACGAAAATAGAGGAAAGAGCTGGGAG